AATTAATAATGTAACATTACTAAAGTGTTGTTAAATTAATTATTAATTTAATTAATTAAAATTAAAAATTAAATTACATTAAAATTAAAAATTAAATTTAATCAATTAATTATTAAATTAATGTATCATATGCTACTATTATAAAATTATATTAATAATATATTAATTATTAATATTACTTTCTAGTTTTGTACTAAGTCTTTAAAATGAGTACTAAGTCCTTGAGCATGTCTCAAGTGATCTGGTCACATTTCAAGTGTCCAGTGACCACATGTGGCTAGTGGCTACCATATTGGATGGCACAGGATGAGAATTCTGGCTCTCTAATTGTGCTGTCCCCCATCCCCTCTGCCCCATCCTCCTCTAGTCTTTTGTAAAACCAGGTGAATATGGCTTGGTGTGGTGGCTCACGCCTGTAATCCTAGCAGTCTGTGAGGCCTAGGTGGGAGGATCACTCAAGGACAGGAGTTCAAAATCAGACTGAGCAAGAGTGAAGTCCCATCTCCACTAAAAATAGAAAGAAATTAGCTGGACAACTAAAATATATAGGAAAAATTAGCTGGGCATGGTGGCGCATGCCTGTAGTCACAGCTACTAGGGAGGCTGAGGCAGTAGGATTGCTTAAGCCCAGGAGTTTGAGGTTGTTGTGAGCTCTCGCCCAGGCAACAGAGTGAGAGTCTGTCTAAAAAAAGATAAAAATAAAAATAAAAAAACAGGTGAATCCAATGTAGAGCAACACTGCAGAGCCAAGTAGCCTATAAAATATTACTATCTACAACAAGACTGCTGCCACTGAGCAATTTTCCTCTTGGTTTCAGAATTCTGGTTTGAACAACCTTTCATTTTTTGCCTTCTGAAATGAGTATTTGAAAGAGAGAGAGAAAATAGGTGCAGTTGGTCCTCTTGATCACTTTCTTGCTTTTCAGTAGAACCTGGAATCAGGTTTGCCTAGCAGCTGATTTTATCTCTACCACCTCATAGTGCCATGTATTTAAGCCAAACATTTACAGTGGTAACAGTAATTTTGGTAAAACAAAAAACAAAACCAGTGTTAACTGATTGAGTCCTGTTCTGGCACAGGCTTAGGAAATAAAACCCTTTTATATGGTAATTTCTATCTGTGAATACCAAGAAACAGGTTAGTCTGGCAACACAGCATTCTCTCCCAGAAGTCAAGTGAATTTGTGCCAACCCCACCTCAACCCCTTTCTGGGCCTTATAACTGATTGTCTGCTGCCCGTCTGGAATCACTGCCTGTCTTAGATATCCAGCCAAAAGCTGGTCTCTGAGCCAAAGCAGCATTCAAGCAGCAGAGCACCAAATAAATGTAGCTCTGGCTTCTGAGAACCTAAGTGGGTCTTAAAGGTCTTAGCTTTTCTCTGAGTTTAGCTCCATTCCACAGGAATTTAGACACGTAGAAGTTTTATCAGATTAATTTAGAAATGCAGTCTTTGTAAACTGCATATTAAGCATGTTAAATTCTGCTACATGCTTGAAAGCCAAGGCTAGAAACTGCATCTATTAGCATTTCTGAGAAGTAGCATGTTAAAGGGCCCAGGGAGACAGGAAGGTTAGTGATTCATGCCATGTTACAGAGCTAGGCAGAGCATCAGAAAGGAGGAAAAGAGTGGATTCTTCAGTCACTTGACCCAGCGCTCTTGCCACCAAGGAATTGCACTTTCTTAAGGTCCAGTTCCTATCCTTTATTCTCTAGTGGCAATTGATAGTCTTTTTTTTTTTTTTGAGGAAAGATGTTAGTAATATCTATCAAAATTTTAACTAGGCAGATTCTTGACTATGCACAAAGATATTTGAACAAGGATGTTTCATACCACATTGTCTGGGATAGTGAAACATTGAAATCAACTTAAATGTCACAATACAGCTTTTTAAAAGAATGACACAGATCTATATGTACTGATACGGAAAGATCTCCAACACAGAGGTAAATTAAAAATTCAGGTCACCATTTATATTATATTATTTATATTATTATATTATGATACCATTTATATTACCCAAAAGAGGAAAATACAAATATATATGTGCAAATTTATAGGAAATGTCTGAAAGGATATTTGGAAAACTGTTAAAAATGATTTCTGCTAAATGCAGAGGACTTTGTGGATATGTATTTACATCATTTGACACGAGTACTGGAAAAACAGATTTCCATAGTACATATGTAATTAAAAATAAACGTAGCCAAAAAAAAAATACTTCTTAATCTCATTGTAAGCAATCTAAAATATTCACAAAGGGTATCTTTATTTATAAATGTAGATGTTCTTTTTAATACTAATAAATGAAGATTTTTAAAAAGCCTTACTATGCTAGAAACTTGGTTATAAGCCATTTGTATCATAGCTGAAAAATTAAGAAAAACTAATTAAAGAATGATTGGCAAATTAATTAATTGAAATTCTTCATGGTCTTCTTTTCTCAAGGTTAATTCTATTAAGTATTTAGTGTTATAAAAGAAATGTAAAACAATTGTCAAGTATACTTGACCATGCTGCTTTAGAAAATGGTTAGATGTTTAACAGAATGCATTCTAGAATTATATTCCTTGCAAAAGCGTGGAGAATAGTTTGTAGGAAAACCAAACATGGAGTAGGAAAGCCAGTTCCTAGCTATTATAGCAGTCCAAGGAGAGAAGATGAAAGCTTGTCTAGAATATTGGGGACAAAATAACGAAATAGATTAAATCCCTGAGCTATAGTGAATGAGGGGTTGAAAAGAAGATAAATCTTAAGTTTGAATGATTGGGTTTCTGATGATTTCATTAAATCAGAAGACAATGATAACAGAAAAAGATGGTTAATTCTGTATAGAATATGTTGTGCTGCATGTGGGACTTGAAGTATACATTTTCAATAGACCAAAAAAAGAAATGCTGAAGTTCTGGTCAAAGTCTTGATTTGGACATAGAGACATATGATTCATTGATACAGGCATAGCAGGTAATGTTATAAGCATAGATAACACTGCAGGGTAATTGTCCTTTTTGAAAAGAGTACAGAACTCTGACTAAAACCAACATTTATGGGATGAGTAAAACATGTGTCAAGAGATTAGGAAAAAGAAGCCAGAGGGACTAGAAGAGAACAAGGAAATACTGTTCCATAGATCTTGCAAGTGGTGTTTAAGAACAGAGTAGTCACCAAGTCGTAGAGCGGTCCAATGAAATAAGAAAAGTGCCCATTGCATAGAACTTATTAGAGTGAATGGGTGATTTACATACATTTCATGTTTATTATCTCATTTAATTCTTGCAGCAAGTGCTTTCATTATCCTCATTTTACAAATGACGAAAATGAGACACTGAAAGGTACCTAACTAAGTAACTTGTCCAAGATCACACAACAAATAAAAAGTAGAGACAGGATTCAAACCCAGGCCACATGGTATGTGTATTCTTATCCGAAATCCCGATTATTCAGATGTATATAACCAGCTCATTGTCTCCCTTGAAATACTAAATGAGCTAAGACAAGTTTGTATTATCAACAAGATGAAAGAAAGCAATTTATTTCTTTTAGGCCACTAGCTTTGGATGGGTTCTTGAGGGAAATGAGGGATTGATTGCTCAAGAGACAAGGTAAATGGGGAGCAGTTTTTCTTGATCTTTGTCACCATACTTGCTAGCTATTCTAAAGGCTTTAGAATCAAACTGAGTTTGTCCTGTGCAGAGGTGCTGGGTGGGTGAGAACACCCAATCACCCATTCTCCTGCAGGAGATACCAACAGAAAGCAAAAAGGACAGGTGGAGGACTGTCACTTCAAATTTATATAGCCCTCTCTGCAACCTCCCCATGTCCCTGTTCTCAATTCCAGTTTTTCTAAATGCCACGTCGGAGCTTCTGCAGACTTCGGCAAAGTGAAGCAGTGCATGTGTTATAGAATCACTTTCAGTGATTCTGCCATAAAATTTGGTGCAGGTCTTATTCCCAGCTCAGCCCAGGAACCTCCATCAGTTACCCCACAGTCTCTAAGAGAACTGAGGAATCTCCTGTTAGGAAAGTTCCCTCTTTTCTTCCCATGATTATCATAACAAAGGCTTTTGTCATTCAGTTTTCTGGATAAAAATCTGCCTGGTCAGATTCAGTGATAATCTAACAAAAGGCATTCTAATAATTATTATTTAAATAGCTCTGCTAAGGCCCTCCCCTGGCTGAACACATATCTGTTTCTCCTTTCCCGTCCACCTAATATAAAGCCTGCAACTATTTTGTGAGACAATTATTCACCAAGACAATTGAGTCACCAAGTGTCTTATTTTGAACTGCAAACATCCCTGTGAACTTTGGTATTTGACTAATTCACCGTTAGAGAGAAGAGATCATTTGTAGAATGATGGTTTGATGGGGAATGAGCACTGAATTAGCAGCACATGTTGGCTACTATCTACATACAGAATGCTTGGAAGATTTAAGGGAGGAGGACAGAAAGGCAGTTGCCTGAGGAAAGATCTAGAAAAAGGGTGGGAAAAGAGAAGAGCACAGAGAATAAATCAAGGTCACTACTGCATTTTCCATGAGTTCTTTCCTATCAGGAGGTTTTCCTCCAAACATTGCTTTCAAAACCCAGTTCTAATGGACCTCACTGAACCAAATGGCCAGGAGTTGGATACTTCTGTGAGAATTGCCAAGTGCCACAGAACGTGAAAGCTAAGAAGTAATGCAACAGAGATTTGTGGCTGTGACTAGAAGGAAAAAAACAAACAAACAAACAAAACTTCAATTTAGAGGTCTTGGCTATTTTTGGAAGGTATAATTTTATTTCAGCGAAATTCTGGCTAAATTATCCCAACCGATTTTAAAACTCTTATTTAATAAAATGACAAACAAGTCAGGAACCTTGACCTAAATGTGGATTCAATTAGCCTCAAGATTGGAAGGCTGAAGTATGATGGGTAATTTATACATATGCTAATCACTTCCCCCTTGTCTGAGACAGAACAATGGGAAAGTGAACATTCATTCCAGGTCTGCACTCACCGCTGTGTATTGCCGGACAACATATTCAGGAGTGGGACCAAGAAACATGTAGAAGTCCAGTACTCCTCCGATAGTCCGGAATGTTATAGAAGGATATGGACTAAGAGTGACATCTGAGAAGAACAAAGCAAAGTACAGAATTAGCACAAATAAAATAAGTGTTAAAGATCATGATTTTCATATATCTACCATTTGTATGCTACCTAGGCCAGTTATCTCATTCTATTAGGCATGACACATAGCTGTGATCACCTCTAAGCGTGTGCTAGGATTTTCCAATTCTGCGTGTTCACAACTTTCTTTTCTAAAACTCTTTCCAAAGAATTCATCAAGTCAGTTATGTATTGCATTCACTGAAGGGGTTAAAATATGCTATTGTGGCATATTGACTAAGTTAAGGGCACTTGAAAAAACACCAGGTGCAAAACGATCACTTTGACCTTTGTATTGTTTCTTAAAAGAACAAGATGAAATTCCCACATGAAAGAATCCCATCTTATATACTAGAAAAAAAAAAAAAGCAACATTCTTAACATCAAGGACAGGAAGTTGAGACCAAGAGAATACTGTACAGACCTTGTTATATTAACAACTCATCTTTTAAGGCTCCCTATGTAATTTAATTGTTTTCTTCATAATTTACTATTCTTTGTCCAATTCAGTATATAACTATCTCAGTGCTTCTTCAGGTCTATATTTTTTTTTATGTGGGCCCCCTTACCATGTGAAACTTGTATTAAATAAATCCCTATGCTTTTCTTCTGTTAGTCTATCTTAGGTTAATTTACTTCTCAGACCCAATTGGGATCGTAAGAGGATAGAGATAGAATTTTTCTGTCCCTACAAAACACACACATACACACACACAAAACAGAGAGAGAGGGGTCAGGGAGTGATGGAATTAGTTTAAGCACACAATTAAGGAAAGCTACTGCAGAGGTAATACATTTCAAACATTTCTAGACTAACTTAATGCAGAATGGTGCCTATGGCAATGTTTCCCTTGCTGAGACAATACGGCAGAGCCAAAGACACTGCATTACCATGAAATTTCTCACATTGCTTGTTCAAATGGCTTCTGATTTCTTGAGTTATGTGTCTTTAGTATTATGTGCCTTAATAGCATTTTCAATATATTGGGATGAATGGATATGTTTCATTAAAAAAATTTTCCATCTTGAAACAAAGTATTAAATTGCAGACAATCTCTCATTCTATTTGGTTCTAATTAATAAGTATTTTTAAAGGGAGAAAAAGCAAAATTAGCATTTAAATTGTGCATTTGCTTCTTTACAATTTAACCAGACAATCACATTACCTTGGGCATTGGAATTCAGGAAAAGAACACCATGAGCATTAAAATCATTCTCTATGCACATATAAAAAGGATGAACTCCATAGAGATTGCTAAATGCCTGCAACAGCAAAAAGAAATATTATGTTTTTTGAGGGTTTAGTATCATTGTATTATCCTATCTCAGTGAAACCTGGTAGCAGTTAATGACATGCACCCCCCCCAAAAAAAATGTGTATTTTATATTGTGAGGGTAAAAGGCAAACTGGGAAAAACACGAGTGGATGTTAAATTTTAAACTTGTCTTTGTGACTAAGTATAAACCAAGATGATTTCTGAGAGTAAATTTATAGCACCTTACAGAAACTCGTTATTCATGGTCTCTTTTTCTTTCAATAAACAGATCTCTAGTATTACAAATATAAATTAATATATTACCATTGGTGATTGATCTCTGGAAAACATTCCATATGTAACGAAATTCATGCCATGCTTAAAGGATGGATGCTCATGTTCACCAAATCCATAGATGGAAGTGGATGGGACAGTGGTCACTATTTGCATAAACTGTTTAGAAAAAACCAGGCCTCCAAAAAGTGTGTCCCACCTATTTCAAACAAGAAGCAGAAAGACAGTGACCAGGTGCTTCTTAATAAACTTTTCTCCATTAAATTCTGGTTTTTAAAAATCCTGTAAAGTTATCTCAAAAAAGAGGATGATAAAATAAAAACAGGTGTGAAGGGGTTTGAGCGAATGGTAGGAAATTCATGTTTATTGAGTATTTATTAAATACTTGCCCCTACGCTGGTTATAATTTCTATGAGATTTCATTTAATCCTCACGACAGCCCTGTGGAAAGGCATTATTATTCCATTTTATAAAGGAAGAAACTGAAACTCAGAAAGAGTAAAGTCACATAATTTATGACTTTTTTTGTATATTTTATATAAATTATACAAAAATAATAGTGCCAGAATTCAGTGAGCTTTGCCTGCTCAAATTTTAGTGAAGCATTTTATCTGTTGAGATGGAAGTAGGTCTTTCTTGAAATAAAAGTAGTCTGTGTTCAAATAAAACTTGAGAAATGTTGGGTGGCACAAATCTAGCTAGATTTCTTTTCTGTGGGACTTTTTCCCCTGAGTTTTTAAATAAGGAACAAGGCATAATGAAACTCCAAGAGGCGACTCTCACATATGACATTTTTCAAAGGTAATTAACTATAGAAACCTTTTGTGCTGGAGTGGCTAGGTACATTGTGGAAGACAGTGTTAAATCATTTCAGGGAAAGGGGGAGAGCAGTGGTGGGGTTGGTGACATTATAGCAGTCACAGAGGTGGGAGGCAGCACGCTGTGTCCCAACCCACACCTCAGCACAACCTCTCCTGCGGTCCCACGCCTGGCCGGAGTCCACAGGACAGGCAGGTGGGGGTGAGTCCACTGCTAGAAGGGAGTTTCTCAGACACTTGAGGAGACTGCTGCTAAGTAACAACACTTAAAATGTTTAGCGTTGTTACTGAATACGGCCGGTGGAAATCATTGCTCGTTCATGCTCTCTCTCTCTCTCTCTCTCTCTCTCTCTCTCTCTCTCGCTCTCTCTCTCTCTTTCTCTCTCTCTCTCTCTCTCTCTCTCTCTCTCTGAAAGTGTTCTGAGTGCCAAGCCCTGCCCTGAGCACTGAAGAAACACACAGAGGAATAAGAAGAAGGAACAATGGGTGATCATAACACAATGGGATATGTGGATGTAACCAAGCGTGTGCTAACACAAAAGCAAAACAGGGCACATATCAAGGCCTGAGAAGGTAAGAGATCAGGAAAACTAACATGAGCAAGTAAGATACTGTCTATGAAGACTAACAGTATGTATTAACTCTGTTTCCCATAGGAAAAAGCATTTATTATCTTTTTCTTGTGTTCTTAGTCGAATGCAAGTTTTTCAGATCCTGATAAACAGGAAAGCTCATTTAATTTTTGAAGTCATCAGAAGATGCTGGACAAGATTTCTCTTTCATTTTATCAAAGCCTCTACATACCATTTCTTGATAGTTCGATAAAAAATATCACTTAGCGACAAAGACCTGAAAGGCCAAAATGCTAGCATAGCTCTTCCTGATTAATTGGTGATATCAATAGCAATCATTTGCCTCAAGGATTTTATAAGAATATTAATGAGAGGGGGAAAGTGCTCTTATTTTGACTAGTAAGCATCTGTCTCAAAGATTTCATAAGGATATTAATAGTTCAAGTTCGAACCCCAAAGAAATCATTCAGAAAGAATATACAAAAGGGTGCCATTCAAAATATTAAAAATTAGCCCAGCATGTGCTGACCAATCAGAACCCATGTGGGCCATAGCCTGAAGTAGGGCCCTGAAGGCCTCCAGAGATGACAATTTTTCCTGGAATTAAGGGAGCTCTAAAGGGGTAGAGGGGCTGGGGTATACCAGAACACCATGGGGGAATTTAGGAAGCTGGAATTTAGGGATCTTTAAAGGGGTAGACGGGGTGGGGAGCACAAGAGCAGCATGGAGAATGCCAGGCTAGCCCAGGGCAGCAGCTACTGACCATTATGGACATATTTCAACATTTTTTTATTTTTTGAGACAGAGTCTCACTCTGTTGCCCGGGCAGAGTGCTGTGGCATCAGCCTAGCTCACAGCAACCTCAAACTCCTGGGCTCAAGCAATCCTCTTGCCTCAGCCTCCCGAGTAGCTGGGACTACAGGCATGCACCACCATGCCTGGCTAATTTATATGGCTAATTTATATAAATTATAAAATATATATATATATTTTTTTTTTTTTAGCTGTCCAGATAATTTCTTTCTATTTTTAGTAGAGACAGGATCTCTCTCTTGCTCAGGCTGGTTTTGAACTCCTGACCTTGAGAGATCCACCCTCCTCAGCCTCCTAGAGTGCTAGGATTACAGGCGTGAGCCACCGCGCCGGCCAATTTCAACATTTTCATAGCAGCTATGACCATACTGGTGCCTATCTCTCTGGAACAGTCACCACCCCTCTAAGGAATTATTAAATATTTTCCAGCTTAATTTGCCTATCAATCTTAAAGGTAACTATAGCTCTCAGAAAACGCCATTGAAGAAAAAACATTTGGCTCTGACTTTTCTATATAAAGAATGGTTATCAATTAAGCTTTAGTAGTATACTAGCAATGACCCTTTATAAAGCAGTTTATGCTAGTGTTTATAGAAGATCCTGGTTTCCTTGGAATTATTTAAAGTATTGTTTATTTATATAAGGAAAGCAGAACAAAGGGCAACCTGCTACATTTCTTATTATTTTCAACCACAAAACTGAAATGCAACTTCCTATATATATTTTATTAGGTGCATACTTCTGCAGCCCCCTTTTCCTTAGCAAAAAAGGAATCTAATCAGTACCCATAACATTCACATTGGTTGTTTTGAAACAGCCGGGCTGCCATAAGTTTGTGACATATTGTGAGTTGTTACTGCCAGTTCAGGAGGACTAGAATAATTGATACAAGACACATAAACTGTGTCAGTCCTCTCTCTGCTGCTTCTTGTTATAACTTCCAATGTTCTCAAAGTGTGAGTACCATTACAGAGTCCCCAGTCTCTTGAGATTTGCAAAGCCATATTAACAAATATTCACTTTTATTCCCTTCCATGAACACTGATTGTATGTAAAGAAAAAATAAATAAATAAGGCAAAGCAAAGGAAAAAACTTGAATAAAAAACCAAATTACATTGTTTATTTTTAAATTAGCCACATTAGACAATAAAAATAAGGACTTTATCAGTCCACAAGCTAGACTCTAATAAGTCAAAAAGGAAAATAGCATTATGTTATGAATAACAATGTTGAGTTTAACAATAACATTCCAATAAAGCATTCTCATTGTTCAAGTGAAACTCAAATAATTGGAGTGCAGTTAAAATAATACCAGATGAAACAATAAAATAATACCACATTACTTGCCTCTTAAGTTTTTATGAATGAAATAAAACTGAGATCACATAAAAAGCCAAGTTTATCAAAAGTAAAATAAGATTATCTTAGTATTTTATTATTTCAGAAAAGATAGCTCTCTATATGCATTTATAATAAGGAATTCTCCATATTTATCAATTCTTTATGTTTAATATCTCTTTTCAACTAACCAGAGGGGCACATGCTATGGCTGATGTAAGTAAATATTATTTATTCAGAATGTAAGGGTGAAAGGGTTGGGTCTAGACAAGATATATCTTTTGTATGTTAAGAATAGATGATAGAATTCTAACCACAATTATTATATGAGCTGACAGGAATTATAAAACCACTTTATATTTCCTCCTTTTATTTTCTGTCATACTAGTCTTTTTATAACCAGAAGATATCCAGAGTCTGTTCCTTCTTCCATTCCTTTCTTTTGTGGTTCTCTTAAACTTAAGAAGGTCTCACTGCAGCCATCTTTTCCCTGAAGTCTTATCTAATTCTTCCTGTCAGAATAAAAATCTGCTTTTACATTCCTCACATCCCATGTGGCTTTTTTTTATTCTCTCCGCTGACCTAGTTAGCCCTTTTGAGTACAAATAATATGTCCTTTATTCCTCCTTATTCCCAATAACAAACACCATGTAAATACTGAAAAAGTTTAATTTTCTCTATAGACTTAAGTACACATTACAAATGAGCCAGAGGCAACCCGGACGGGAAAGATACTCACATTCAGTCTTAGTGGATTGCCCAGCGTCTTTTTGCTTCTCAGGCAACTCCATTCCATTCCATTCCAACTCTGTTCCCAGTCAGAATTTAATTTGTTTATAATTTAATTTATCTGATTTTTATTTATTTTACTCAGCTGTATGGGTCCCTGTTCTTAACCTGAGCTCTTTTTATTTTAATTTCAGATTTAAATCTCATATTTGAAACATTTCCTATGATGGTCTGGGCTAAAATCTGTAAAAACTCAAACCCATTACACCATCTACCTCAACATCCACAATCTCATGACCATGATAAGTCACCTCAGGTGCAGTCACCTTGATCCAGAGGTAAAATATCTGCCCACACACACCAAATGTTCAATGGTTGAACAAGGATAGGAGAATTCCAATAATCATTCCTCATAAAAATGGAAATAATAACAAATATATAGCAATATATAGTCCATAGAAATTCTGAAATTCACCCTGCCTCACGTTGTTTGGGTCCCCTACTCTAGAAAATATTTCTGGATTAGAGTCCAGTTTTACCTAAGACTTGATCCCTAATTCTTTGTTGTGACTCTTGGCTCCCCATTGAGGCCCCAGGTGTCATTTTTTGAGAGGTCCTTACTTCATCATAAAAAAGTGGCCCATGTTAATAGCTAAGTAGCTTTCTAATCCTACTTGCTGGCAATAGAAAGTGGGGTCTCAGAGGCATCTCTTACTATTGAACAGTCTCTGGCTCTTCTAGTTCAAGCTGATATAATGCCCTTAAAACTTTTGTGGGTTTTCTATAAATATAATTGAGGTCTATTCCATGCCTCCAAAGCCATATTCATAATTATTTTTAATATAGAGTCTTCTTTATTGTGGACAGACCACTGTGATAAAATATCTTTAAGATTTTTAAAAGCCCTTTTGTCTAGTTTAGAAGGTCTATGAGACATTATAAATTGTTCCATGATCTCAACAAAGGCTCTTATAATCATATACTTTTTGGTCTTTACCTAAGGCCATTTATTAATATTTATTTGGGAATATTTTGCTGATTGCAGAGACTTCGGATGAAAAACAATTATATATTCCAACTCATCCAGTCCAGGGCCCTCTATATTTTTTCTAAACTCTACTTAAGCACTGTACTGTTCCTTGCTTAGTTTATTTCTCTCGTCCTATAACATTGCGCACAGTTTAAAGAAAGCAATCTTTTCAGTATTCTGCCCAGAAATCTTCTTTGCCAAATATGTAAGTTCATTAGGTACATTTTCTGCCTTCCAAATTATTGTGGGAAACAGTACAAAACATGAGTGGCCATCTTTCCAGCTTCCATTAACAGTTTGTTCGCCATCCCACCAGCTTTCACTAATTTTGCACTATTTCCAACTTCTTCCCATCACTGGATCCCAAAGCCAATGATAAATGATTTATATTTTTGTTACCAAGGACACTGCATTTCTAAGTTTGTGCCACTGTAACAAATTTTATATATGAGCTATCAATTTCTGCATATCAAACAACTTAAAAATTCAGTGGCTTAAAAAATGTATTATTTCTTATAATCTGTGGGTTAACGGGACAATGATTCTGGTCTTACAACTATTAACAATATAGGCACAAACTGGGATTGATACACCTTGTGGTCAGAAAGGTACCGGGTGTCTGCTTAGTTGTGGTTGGATGGTATAACAGGATGTATCATGAGTCTGGAAACTCACCTGGAATGGCTAAAACAAATTAAATGTCTGGGCCTCTTTTTCTCTGTAGACTTTCATCTCAGTCTTCTCTGCATGATGGCAAGAGTGATCCAAGAAGGGAAGCTGCAAGGCTTTTTAAAGCCAGATCTTAGAAGTCACATGTCATGTCCTTTGCATTTTATTGGTCAAAGTATTATACAGAATCAGCCCAGACTTAAGAGGTGAGAAAATAGACTCCACTTCTGTACAGTATTTGTGGCCATTTTTAATCTACCATCCTTAGAAAAACTCAGTGTAGCCCCATGGAATAAAGATAGCTAAATGAGCCATATAAATATTGAAAGCTGTGGTGCTATTAGAACCAGAAGCTGATCATTGAGATATTAAATCAAGGATAGCTTTACTTTCTATATAGACATAACCATATTTTACTTCAAGGCCATATATTGAAAGGAACTGGATGGTCATAATTATGTAGATATACTTAATCCAAAGCAAAATTTGGCATGATAGTCTTTGTCATACTAATGACAACACGGCCTAAAATAATTCAAATATTACTTTGAACTATTAAGTATATGTTTTTGATTACCACAATACTCAAGAAAATCATCACTTATTAATAGTAATAACAGTGAAAATAATAACAGCCAATGTTTATTGAACATATATCATGTACCAGTTCAGTTAAATTAGAATTTCAAAAGGAACACAGAATTTTAAAACTGAGAATAACAGCCATCCATACAGTTCAATTCTCCAGAAAAAACAATTTTACAAGAGGCTAAATGAAAAATTCTCCCTGTCCTCCACATGGTATTTTAAGTTATTTCTCATATTTTAATATTTCTAGTATTCTAAATTTGCTAATTCTGTAACCTCCATAATTTCTCCAGGCATGTGTATGTTTGTAAGGACAAAACTAAGATTATATTAACCTGAATAGTACTTACAATACTGTCTTTGTCTTCTTTCTTACTACTCTGAATTCAGAGACCATATCATTTATCAATTGAACATCATAGTTGGATTCAGCAGATGCATGTAAGGGAAAATTAACACGGAGTGGAACTTCAAATCGTTTATTATCAGGATCATAAATCTAAGATATATTAGAAGAGTAAATATTGTATTAAATTTTAAAAAAATAATCTAATTCTAATGTTATGAACCAGTTCTAATGTTAATGATAAGGGAAATGAGAAATTTGTAGTTACCACCAGAACAAGATATTATGAAGTATTTCATCAAATGATGTTATTACATTTGCAATCTCCCATTAGGAAACACTGTATTCATGAAAAATACAGACCATCGGTTCTACCTACCTTAAACCGGAGCCGATTCTTGGTATGAAATTCTATATCCATTGCAAGTGGGGAAATATCATTTCCAAACAAGGATATATTGTCACGCTTGGTTAATATTACCCTATAAGATAAACCAATTTTATTAGCCCCAATGAAACATATTTATTTTTGCAAATGAAAAGAATTCCTCAGGTAGAAAGAACATTGATAAACAGAGAGATAAACAATTTATTCTAACAAGGAAAGGAAAATTAAGACAAAAGAATATCCTACGAAGAGCAAAAGCATTGAGGAATAGATGTTAAACACTGGAATGGTAATAAGAAAAATAAACTAATTTCCATTGCAGTATATCTCTAAGAATAGGAAAAACTGCAATAGTTACAAAACAAAAATTTGTCATCTGATTTTTACTTAATTGATCATAATACAACCTTCTCTGTAGTAGAATGAAATAATGAACAGGGGGTTTTCCTCTAGTTATATTCAGTCAGTCATCAATGACTTCTAAAAACTTGTCCTGGAAGTTATCAGTGGGCAATCATGGGTGATCACCGAAGCTCCAGGCACAGCCTCTCTCCTCCTAGTTCCAGCCTCCTCCCTCACTTTGCACAACCTCGTATGAAATTGTCACAGCCATCCCAGCTATCCGAACCTCCAATTCGACACCACCATTGCCACCACTCACTCCAGCTAAGCCTTCCAATGACAGGTTAAAGGACAGAGGCCCATTTCCTCAGGTAAATCATTGGTTAAGTCTTTAGTCCAGTGTGCCAAAGCACCTCTTACTTCCATTGTTTTGCTCTGGAACATTCTTTCCAAAGACACGATTCACAGAGAATTCATTATGGTTTAGGAGCTGTCTAAATTCAGTAAGCAAAGTCATCTGATGGTCAAATTGAGACATAATGAGCTCTCCCAAGCCCAGAGTTCAATGTGGGGCTGGGTACACATTACAAATAAGCCAGAGGCAGCCCAGATGGGGAAGACACTCACATTCAGTCTTAGGGACTTGCCCGGTGTCCTCTGCTTTTCAGGCAATTCCATTCCATATAACCTTTGTTCCCAGTCCAAATTGAACTTGTTTACAATTTAATTTATCTGATTTTTATTTATTTAATTCAATTTTATGGTTCACTGCTCTTATCCTGAGCTCTTTTTATTTTAATTTCAAATTTTAACCAGTATTCAAAACATTTGTCATGATGGTCTCTGCCAAAATCTATAAAAACTCAAACCAATGGCAAATTTAGAATAACAGAAAATAGCATATAATGTAAGTTAGCTCAACCAAGTTCTATTTTTGAGCCTATAAAATAGACTGGTTTCTTCAAAGCAGAAGAATTTGGAGGTCCAGAAGCAATAAAAACAAAATGTAATGATATTTTTTCTTCTCTTCTTTCAATTTGGAATTCACTATATTTCTGAGACGACTATGTTCTACCTTATTATAAATCAGCTCCTTTCAGCTCAGCTCTTTCCCTTCAGCTTTCTCCTATTATCTCTGTAGTCACATTTTTGCCTTTGTCCCTAAAAAGGACAGTCCTCCAATCCCTAATCCTAAGTAAGCATCATCATTAAATTTTATATCACTCCCTGGCAAGAAATGGAACTAAAAAGCATATTTTTTTTTTTTTTTTTTTGAGACAGAGTCTCGCTTTGTTGCCCAGGCTAGAGTGAGTGCCGTGGCGTCCTAGCTCACAGCAACCTCAAACTCCTGGGCTCGAGTGATCCTTCTGCCTCAGCCTCCCGGGTAGCTGGGACTACAGGCACGCGCCACCATGCCCGGCTAATTTTTTATATATATATCAGTTGGCCAATTAATTTCTTTCTATTTATAGTAGAGACGGGGTCTCGCTCTTGCTCAGGCTGGTTTTGAACTCCTGACCTTGAGCAATCCGCCCGCCTCGGCCTCCCAAGAGCTAGGATTACAGGCGTGAGCCACAGCGCCCGGCCTAAAAAGCATATTTTGAAACAGTTCTCAAGCCCTGGTCATGCAATGTAAAGGGGAAATAGATCATAGATTCCAAGCAGAAACTGAGGTAACGTTAGCTTTTGTAACACTCAGCTCAGCTCCAGCTAAATAAATGCTATGATTTTTAGATTCCATACATTTCCCAGAAATATATCCAACACTCCAAAATCAAGAATCTAGTCTCCAAAAGTCAGCACGTGGGCAAATATTTTTAGTGACATTGACCCATTAAAATCTGGTTTTTCTCTTGAGAACCTTAACTAAAGAAAAATGACTATCCTTTTTTTCTCTCATAAAAGTTAAGCATATCATTTGTAATTGAGTTATTTTTGCACTTACTAATTAGAGTGAGTATACTCAGATTACTTCAAAGTATGATTCCAGATGTCATCATGAAATAGTTGCTGTTAAGGGCAGTTTTTCATTCTTTTGTCATGCTTCCCAAAAGGTATGCCACCAAAAGAAAAGAAAAAGCTTCTTTCTAAAAGATATGCACGATAGCATAAAATACAAGAATTTTACCTTGGCCCAACTTGTTTGCAATGAATCATCTCTCTACATAGAATAGCGAGTGTTTCTGGCTATTGGGCAGGGACTACCCAACTGATTAAGAAACAAGACACAAGTGCAACCTCCTCTTCAATTGGTGAGTTGCGACAGTGATGTAGATGTAAGATTCTAAACTATGTTTCTTCAAGTAAGGTAGGAAGCAAAAAAGCTACGTAATTGGGGCTTTCTGATTCACCATGAAGGCTCGGAGTTATCAGGGTATATTAAATAAAAATAGAATGTAATAGAATGTGAGGTGATGTGTGCCAAATAAACCCATGAGTATGGATTGGAAAATTTAAGTGCTTATTAAACGTTCTAGGAAATACATACCTCCATCCTAGAGCTGTCCTTCGAGGTTGCTCTTTTACAACGTAGCCATGTGGACCGTCTGCTGGGTAAAAGCACCAGGGAATGTCAGAGATACTTGTAGAACACCAGTAGCAGCCTTTAGCTTCACAGCTTTCTTGAGAGGCTCCTGGTTGAAGAAGGCAATCAATGCGTTTCTCAATGGGAAACCTCATGGCACAAGCAGCCTCTTGTTTGGAATTGTAGAAGCAAAATGGAACTTCGGTATTGTTAGTGGCACACCAGTGACATCCGCGCTTTATACAGGTAGCTTCAGTGGCCCTGAGCCCCGGATAGCAGTCAATTCGTTCAGAGGGAGCTACTAAAGAACATGCATCAACCTTCTCAAAACACCAAGGGATCCCTGGGGTTTTACCCGGAGACCAGCAGCAATTCCTGGCCAGACAGGTGGCTTCGGAAACTCCAGGATCAGGATGACAGTCCTTCCGGAATTTGGCCGGTAAAGATGCTGAACAGGAACTTGAACGAACGGGCTGGACCAGAACTGAACCAAGAAGGAAAACAGGTCAGGGTAGATGAAAAGATCTCTCGAAAACACATTTATAATCAAGACACTTTTATAAAACTTAAAAAAAAAAAGTCTCTCAAAATGCTTAGACTGTGAGTGGAATAGTTGTTGGATACTAAACAGTACTCTAAATCTGTCAGCCTAGGTAAAACAAAGTAAAGCAAAAACCTGTCCCTTAAAAATGCAGCGCTAACATTTTCTATTTATAATTGCTCCTAACATTTGCGACATGCATGTACTGCACAGTCCCTCAATCTCAGGTGTGCACTCATCATCAGCTGCTAAATGTTACCAAATGGATTTCACAAGTCAACATAATTATTTCTTTTCTGTTTGATATGCCTTCCTTCATTTATAGACTAGAAACCAGTTGTTAGACTTCCAGTAACCCTAAGAAATGTCTGTACTTGCTTCCTCTAAGCTAACAGATGCCAGACCTTCAAAAATGCCACAATACTGATATATTTGTTCATACCCCTTCTGTGACTTTCCATTTTTAAAAACTCCTCAGTCACTGCTGGTAATGTGGATGCTTTCCTCACCTTTGATATTTGGGGGAGTTTTAATGTAATTAATTTGATGGATTACTAATCTTTGTCCCCCATAAACTGAATAAAATATTGGAACGTAGATATAATTCACTTACATTCCAGAATCATAAATTGAACATAGTCATGGTTTAACCAACTTTTTAATAGCAGTCAGGAGCAGTATTTTGTTCTCTTTTTGGTTCTATCATAAATAATTTCTAAACTATGTTTATGCAAGCAAAGTCCATGAAACACCTGACTCAGACATGCCTATCAAATTGATAAACATATCTTTGGGGGAAATAAATACTCTTATATGAACATTGTTGATAGAGATGCAAAGTTGTACAACCCATATTAAGGGGAATTCAACAGTATCTACTAAATTACATTTTTTTTTCACTCTTTAACCAGAAATACCATTTCTAGAAATCTATCCCAATGATACACAAAGATCTTCAGTGAAGCATTGTTTATCTTTCCATAGAGAATAAATTATGGAATGAGAGGTCATAAAAGAAATGAATAAACCTCTATCTGGTATATGGAGTTATCTCTAGGATATATTATGTAGGAAAAAGGCAGGTGCAGAACAATGTTTCTCTGAATGCTACATTTTCTGTAAGAAAGAAGGGGCATCTAACTATATATTTATACTTCTTTATGATTTTAAATAGACACAATGGAAGAATAAACCAAAAACTATTAAAAATGGTTACATTATTGGGGGATGTAGGGAATCCTTGAAGAAAATAAAGATTACCCTTCTGCTGTATCTTGTTATATAGCTTTTACTTTTAAACCAGGTACATTTTTTAATCTAATTTTAAAACAAAATTAATTTTAAAAGAAATAAAAGTAAATTGCTGTTAGTTGAATACAAGCTAAAATGAATAAACCTGTTTTTCATGTTGTTAGCATACACACACAAAAAAGGAATTACCTCAAAAAGTGACTTTAAAGGAAATATTTGACCACATATCTCTAATGGTATATGTGCAAAGGGCAAACCATGAGGAAATCATTTTTTTTTCATTTTTTTAATTTTCGTGTATTATGGGGGTACAAGTGTTAAGGTTATGTATATTGCCCATGCCCCCTTCCCCAAATGAAGAAATCTTAACATGGATCCAGTGGTCTTATTGTTATTCTTAATATCAGTATTTTAATTTTAAAACCATTATGCATATATTATAGCATAAAGTAAGTAATTGTATTAATATTTTTTAGAAATATTTCAGCATAGGAGAAAAATGTTTTTAAAAATAATTTGCAACCCTCTAATCTTAATTTGATTTGAAAATATTAGCATGAAATAATGATTAATCATTCTCTTTTATAAACATGCATATTTTCTAGTTCTGTGTCCTGAAAAAAATAGAAGGAGTGACAACCTAGTAACAATGAGCTCCTCTAGCACCCAGACTGTGGCCTCTAGCTACCATTCCTCATCAGGAGAAAAGGACTCCCCTTGGGAAGATGACTGATTCTAAGTCTAAGGTAATAAATGTATAAGAGGAGCCTAGAGCATCTTTATATTCAAAAAATTAAAGAAAGCATCACACCTTATTGGTGCCAACTTGAAGTGGTACGATTTGAGCATCCAAAAGATAAATGACTGATTTCAATGAATATACAGACAGACAGATAGATAATGTACGTATGTGTGTTTGCCAAGACAAAAATTGAATATCAGGCCGGGCGCGGTGGCTCACGCCTGTAATCCTAGCACACTGGGAGGCCGAGGCGGGCGGATTGCTCGAGCTCAGGAGTTTGAAACCAGCTCTCACCAGAGCAAGACCCCGTCTCTACTACAAATAGAAAGAAATTAATTGGCCGACTAATATATATAGAAAAAAATTATAAAAGAGGCTCAAGTGAGCTTGCTTGTGGCTTCCACCATATGAGGACACACTGCAGGCACCATCTATGAGGAACAGGCCCTCACCAGACAGTCTGCTGGCACCTTGATCTTGGACTTCCTAGCTTTCAGAATTGTGAGCAATAAATTTCTTTTGTACCTCCTGATGAGATGCTATAGGGAGTTCACAGTACCACCTGTGAAGTATTCTTTCAAAAAGTATTGAACAGGAACCTATTCAATCTCTAGAACCCATGACTAGTTACAGGAAGTACATGGAACAAAGGAAACATGAGGGATAGAAAAACATTTAAATTACACCCCCACAAAGAAGTAACGAGTCAAATCCAGAACGTGGGACTTTCTTTAAAATGAGTAACTTATTTTCTCCAACAAATCAATGGGCATGAAAAGGTGGTGGTGGTGGTAGGAGAAACTGAAACTTGTAGAATAAAAGATACTTAAGAACCTGAATGACCAAATTCAATGAGCTTTGACCTTAAATGAAAAAAAAATCTATTTCACTAATTCTAACTAAACCTTTGCATTTTCAATTTCGAAAGCAGACAACAAACTATTACAGTTATTCCCAGTACATGTCACTTCATCACAAATAGATATCATATATTTTGTATCACATTATGGTTATTATAGAGATTGCATAAAATTGTTCAAATTCACCATAACTTTGAAATTATGATAGTTATGAGACCTGATGCTGGATCTTGTTATTTAATGCATTACTAAATATATTGGAATATCACAAGTTTGTTTTTTAAATATCTTTTTTTTTTTTTTTTTTTTGTGAGACAGAGTCTCACTTTGTTGCCCAGGCTAGAGTGAGTGCCATGTCGTCAGCCTAGCTCACAGCAACCTCAAATTCCTGGGCTCAAGCAATCCTCCTGCCTCAGCCTCCCAAGTAGCTGGGACTACAGGCATGCGCCACCATGCCTGGCAATTTTTTCTCTATATATTAGTTGGCCAATTAATTTCTTTCTATTTGTAATAGAGACAGGGTCTCTCTCTTGGTCAGGCTGGTTTCAAACTCCTGACCTTGAGCCATCTGCCTGCCTCCGCCTCCCAGAGTGTTAGGATATTACAGGCGTGAGCCACCACGCCCGGCCCTGTTTTTTTAATTTCTTAATAATAATCTTTCAATATAACTTGTTTCCTCTATAATCTTATATATTTTTTCTATGTGTTTAAAAACTATATTAAGAAAGGGTCACTATGCTTCACCAGACTGCCATGGCATGCACACAGGTGCACACACACACTCATACACACAAATGTTCAGAAGCCCTAAAAAACTCTCTGTACCCACTGTCTACCAACATCACATATGCCCAGGAGTATGGAAATTGGAGTAGAAGACCACTGCTCCATGTCACATGTTGAATTGGGAATGCTTACCCTTACAATACTTCATAGACAAAATGCCACTCCAATAAATAGAAAACTCCATCCTCTCACTTCTGTTTCTCAAAATTCAAACCAAGTAAATAACATCATAAAATGAACAACTTCCTGCATAGACATCTAGGCATCATCCTAGCTTACCTTCATCCGTGTTTCAGTTCAGCATGTACTCAGGTTGTTACTTCATCTATCCTTTTGTCCATCTGAACTTCCCATTCAATTTCTCCTACATGTTACTAAAAGTCTTCTCACTGCCCTACTGTCCTCTCCCAGTTCTCCTTCCTTATTCTTCACCAACTGTAGGGATGTGTTCCTGGGGTCAACCATGGCTCTTGTACCTACTAACTGTATGACTTTAGATAAGCTACTCAACCTTTCTAGGCTTTAGTTCCATCATATTTAAAATGGCAATGGTAAAGCTTAGCTTATAGGTTTGTTAAGATTATTGTCTAAGCTAATATAGAGTACATAGTAATATATACTATGCAGATATCATGGGTAAGGGCACTGACTCTAGAACCAGATTATCCGGGTTCAAAGCTCAGTTCTAACTTACTAGCTATGTCCTGAAACAAAGTACTTTACCTCGCTCTGCTGCAGTTTTTTCTTCTGCAAAACTGGGATAGAAATGGCATCTGCCTCTTGGGGTTTTGAGAGACTAAATCAGTTAATACATGTAACGATTTTTGATCAGCAGCTGGCACACCCTTCTTGGTATGTTAGCAGTTATTTTACATATATATAGCATTTAGCACAATAAACTGGCATACACTAAAAATGTTCAATTGTTATTATTAATAAATGGAAATCTTATATTCCTTTTGGAAATCCATCAAGGACAAAATATATTAAACACGAAATATTACATAGGTGATTTGCCAGTTGTTATTTTAAAATTTGGTACTAACTTTCAATTAAAAATTTATTAAAAGAAAAATTTATCAAAAGGTAAGTCACTTACCTGCCAGAACCATGGAACAAAAACGGAGGAGTCTTACGGCCTTCATGGTCCAGAAAAGTGACACTTGCTCATGGTATGTGATGTATTTATATGGGACAATTGGAATAAATTGTTTTGGCCTTGAAATTTTTCTACAGATCAATGAGGTATATAACCCAGGCCAAGAACAAGTCCTTGAAAGTCTTCCCACAAGATTACCAGTGGCTGGCACTACCATATAATGGAAAGACATGAAATTAGCATACAGGTGGCCTAGCGTTTAATCTAGCTCTCCATTGGCTGTGGCAGTCTGGGTGTGTCCTTTAAGTTCAAGGTTATTTCATCTGTAAAATGGATATAATACCTGCCCTGCCTATTTCATGGGGTTGGGATGAGGATGGTAGTTATCACAATACCCTAAGAATACAAACATCAGTGAAAAATCAATCACTTTTTCATCTGACATGATCTAGGTCCCTTGACCTATGAAAAGAATTAAGAACTAGATGAGAGCAGTTGCAAGTTGATTACGATATTTCTCTTTAAAACTATGAAATTTCCAGTTCTATGAATATTTTAAGGGATTCTTAGTTGATCAGAAATTTAATCACTGTACATTGGTTGGGAAAAAGAGTTTACTTAGAAGACAACTCAAGTTAACCAAAGTCACAAGATAATACTTTTTAACTCATCAATATTCAGTGAAGAATGATCATCTCACATGTAAGCAAATGGGCAGCTCTCTATATAATGAAATTTAGGAAGATATTGTCCAGTATTCTTCCTTCATACTAATAAATCACAGCATAAAATTTTTTCTCCCAATCAGGAAGTCTCAGCTCTAGGATTACACGGACTAAGAGTTGTATTTTTCTCAAACTAATTTTTAAATTAAGAAAGTGAAAGAATAAAGTTTATTTAAATTTTTTTCTTAAGTAGAAAGGAAGGATCCAGGGAGAAGTAAAAGGACCTTCCTTCGACTAGTCCCTTCACACCAATGGATTGGCCTAATTAATTATCTGCAGGGAAAGCTTGGAATCTATAATAGTAATGAGAGAGGGGAAGAGGGACGGTTAACAACAAACATTAGTGAAAAACACAAGAGAGGAAAAAAAGCAAAGACAAACATGTTGTCTCTCAGAATTTTACATAAAAATCTCTTAATCACCTTAAGTGGGAAACTGAATCTGTTGGCAAATACAGTGATACTTCCACCAGTAGCTTCCTGAGAACTTTGTTCCTTGTAATAAATTCTGCCTGGACACAGTGGAATTCAGAATCCAAGAGAGGAGTTCAGAATCCCAGCACAAACAGCCCAGATGCGAACCGTATCTGAACCACACATCCACGGTTTAAACGAGGTTGCTGAGAATGGGTAGAAAGAAATCTGCACGTTTGCTATATCATAGGTTTGGTCTCCATTTCTAATTCAAGCTACAAAAATATTGACAGCAAAATGCCTTGAGAACACTGTGGCCTTGGTTACAGAGATGAAAGTGCATGACCTAAGTAAGACCCTCTGTAATATGAGGGCGTACAAGAGAGCTTCTCTAAAGGAATTGTGGGTCCCATGGGGTGGAAATATTTTAAAATCCAATAAAGAAAGCACCACATTTATCATTTACTTAAATATTACTGTTGAGAAACCAATCATCCTTATTTTTTCATCAGAGATGACCCAACAAGGGCTCTTGAAAACAGTGGCCTGCATGTTTATCATACACTGGCAACTTCAGAGCATTAATTTCAAATGGATAATGTAAAATGTTTATATAAATAGTATAAATGAAATAAAGGAGCTTGAATTTTCAACTATATAAATTAGGAAATGCAATAAAGTATATAAAAAAATATCCTACATATTTAAAAACTACTCAAGCTCATATGGTATCCATATTTTTAATTAAAAAGTAGGATATAATATAAAACAAATTAATTTACCTTAATGGGGAAAATGAGATAGAATATTTGAAATTCAGACAGAATGGGAAAAATCTTAGATACAAGAAAATCTAGACATGATTTATGTTCAGTGTGACAAAGTAGGAAATGGTCAGGAACATTAACTATACATTTATTCACAGCATATATCTCCTAAAATGTTGAATCTGTGTTAGGATCGAATTCATTGTGTTTTCAAAAATGAATTTTTGGAAATCTGCATTATTTGCTGAAATTCAGGAATATTCCTAGAAATACTACTTGCATTTAAAATATCACATGTATAAATTTTAACTAAGATTTTTAAAAATAATAAATGTCTTGTGATGAGTATGTGTCCAAGTTTCCTGTCCTAAGCTTTAAATTTTAATAAATGTTTGTTTAGCTTATATAATTTTCTACTGGATAGAAAAAAATTATATGTACACATATATTAATTTAACTTTATCCTAGAGGCATACTTAAAATTCCCAGCTGTATTTACATATTTTAATTATTTACTTTCTATTTGTTTAATACATTCAAAGGAAGGAACAGATGTGTAGAAAGAAATATATGCTGTGATCATCCTAAATTAGTTGCAATAACTTCTCTGATTCCTTAGGATAAAGAATTATATGGTTTTGCAAGCTTTGCAGACTTGTTAAATCACTATTTATAACATGAAAGCCTAAGGACAAATCAGAGCCCTCGACAAAAGTTTATTAAAATAATTTATCTTAAAATTCCAATTAAAGTAAAAATATAATATCTTAAATATTTACTGTGGTCTATAGTTACTAACTTGATTATAATCACCCGTTTTTGACAATCTCATCAACAGATTATGCTGATTATATAAAGCACCATATTTTTTATACATGTTAACAGCAAACTGCTATTTTAAGCTTATATAAACAGAAATACTAATATGCTCTGTCTCTCATTTCTCACATTTGACATATAAATCACAAACATCCATCAATTTCTAGGGTTCAGTGTGTTTAAACAGAAAAACTGCTTGTGAGAGCATTCTGGATATTAAATCTAAATAAGAAAGATATTGAAATGGAATATTCAGGGGATAGTCTAATGAGGAAAATAGCTGAATCTCATAATACAACCGATATAGAGAAAGAAGGTCAGAGCTATATCAGTAATTGCTTCAAACTTTATCTTTAATATATGAGTGACTTGGTGATGGAGGAATGAGAAGGCAGGCAGCTGACAGCTTTTTATTTATCGTGTGCACTGGAATAATATAATAAATCTGGGAGGGAGTTTTATATATATGTGTGTATGTGCATATATAATGTACATATACACACGTTTACAAGGTTTTCTTTTTCCAGACACTTACATGATTCCAAAATGTTTTTTAATTATGTTTATATATACTTCCATTATAGATATTTCCTAAGGTTATAATTTTCACTCAGGAAATAAATTTTTAAAAGCTAAAAAAAATAATCTATACATTTAATAAGTATTTACTGAGCACCTTGGCCAGATGCTACTGAGTCTATAGCTACTATGTTTCCCTGAAAATAAGACAGGGTCTTATATTTATTTTTCCTCAAGAAGACACCCTAGGGCTTATTTTCAGGGGATGTGTTATTTTCCCCTCAAAGCCTCAGCTTGCAGCACGCACAGGATGGCCGGGACCTGACAGGGGGAGCCGACCTTGTTGGTGGGGCTGCGCGCACCTTTCCGGTCACCTCTGGGATAGTAGCTGTCACGATGAGGCAGATGAGAAGGGCTGCTCATCTTCTTTACTGCTCTGCTATGAAATGCATGGGTTGTGCAGATACGCTGCGTAGCCATGTCCATCACTAGGCCTTTTTTTCGGGGTAGGGCTTATATTGGGCAAATGCTTAGACATCCTGCTAGGGCTTATTTTATGGGTAGATCTTATTTTCAGGGAAACATGGTATGTACAGGACAGACTCAAATCCTGCCCCGACAGACCAATCAGGGTGATAGTGCCATGAATAGGGACGCCAGGGAGCCATGGGAGGGCACAGGAGATCCACCCTGCCAATGAGGCACAGCCATGCCCAGAAACACTCAGGGAGTTTAACTGGGTTATAGTAACATGAAATCAATGCATTTTTAGACAGACTCAAATTTCCATTTCATGGTCTGGGTTTTCCTATTGCCTTTATCTAAGAGCAGGCTAAAGCCATTAGTATTGTTTGTATGCTGGTTGAATTCTCTTCAAAAAACTGTCAATATTTTAGCAAATAAGAAGAAAAGGCAATGATTAAAAGTCAACTAAGACATTGTTTGGCAATTCCTGGTAAAAGAAGGGACTATATTTCTAACATGAATTACAAATTTTATTCTAAATTCTTAATCAGGGGAAAAAGAGGAACAGATATAATGGAACATGCTTAGAAGAAGGTACAAATGGCTTACCCCAGAGCAGCTCAAATTTGTCTTATACTGACCTGACCAGGAGGAACTATTGAGCAGAAGAGACAAACCACAAAATCTAACTTTTGACAAAGAGCTATGACATTGCTCTGCCCCCCCCCCTCTTTTTTAAATGCTTTTTCTGAAGCTTATCCTAAGTCAGTTACTCTTCCGCTTGCCAAGGAGAGAGCATAGCCAGAAGAAAAGCGCATGGATCCGAGGGTCATTGGCAAGTATGGCCAGTTCACCAGCAGCCTGTTGTCAGCACTTGCATCCTCCCGCCCCAGCCCCGGACTCCCTACTCCTGCTTAGTGGTGGGCGCTGAGCTGCTCTTCATGCTGCAGACTGGGAAAGCCTGTGCCTTTCGGGAACCCCATCTGCTGAGAGCAGCAGAAAGACAAAAGCGTCAACTTAACATATTTTATTTAACCTAAATATTTTACATAAAGAAATAATCTAACTGGAAAGATTACTGAACTCCCCAGTGACCCATACCCACGCCTCAATATATGGGAATATTGACAAAGAAAGGAAAGGAGGAAGGGAGAGAGGGAGGGAGGAAGAAAGCTCAAACTGCTTTAATCACCACCAAGACTCCTCCCTTAGGCTCCTCCCTTTGGGAATTCGTCCTGCACGGTCTCATTGAACATGTTTTACTTCACATCTCCAAACTTAGCAATGTCCTTTGTAGTTCTATCTTTTAATATACTGTCTACTCCTCTCTGGCCAGTAAATTTTTCTTTTCTTTCTTTTTAATTTTTACTTTTTGTAACAGGGTCTTGCTCTTTTGTTGTCCAGGCTGGAGTGCAGTGGCGTCATCATAACTCACTGCAACCTCAAACTCCTGGGCTCAAGCGATCCTCCTGCCTCAGCCTCCACAGCAGATGGGACTACAGGCTCGTGCCACTGCACCCAGCTATTTTTCTCTATTTTTGGTAGAGACGGAGTCTCACTATGTTGCTGAGGCTAGTCTTAAACCCCTGGCTTCAAGCAATCCTCCCACCTCAGCCTCCCAAAGTGCTGGGATTACAGGCATGAACCACTGTGCCTGGACAAACTTTTCTCTTTTAAATTTTATTTTTAGATGACAAATTATAATTATATGTATTTATGGGATACAGTGTTACGTGCAATGACATATCACCTCACACCCATTAGAATGGCTATTACCAGAAAGACAAAAGTGTTGGCAAGGGTGTGGAGAAAAGGAAATGCTTGTGCAATGTTGGAAATATCAATTAATATATATAGCTATTATGGAAAAGAGTATGGGTGTTCCTCTGAAAACTAAAAATAGAATTACCATGTGATCGAGTAATCCCACTTCTAGGTAATTATCCAAAGGCCTAGAACTCTATATGCCAATAAGATATTTACACTCTCATATTCACTGCAGCATCATTCATAAAAGCCAAGATATGGATGCAACATAGGTAAACAACATTGGATGAATGGATAAAATATTGTAATATATAAACACAAAGGAATACTATTCAGTCTTAACAACGGGGGAAACACTGTTATTTACAACAACATGGATGAACTGGGAGGCCATTATTATAAGTGAAATAAGCCAGGGAGCACAGAAAGACAAATTTTTTTTTATTTTATATTTTTATTTCAAAATATTAAGGGGATATAAATGTTTTTGTAACATGGATGAATCATATAATACTGAAGCCAGAGCTTTTAATATGGCCATCACCAGAATAGTGTAAATTGCACCCAGTAGGTAAGTTATTATTCCTCACCCCCCTTTCACCCCTCCACCTTCTTGGTTGCTAAGGTCCTTTATACACTTTCTGACCAAGTGTACCCATTGTTTAGCTCCTACTTATTAGTGAGAACATATGGTGTTTGTTTTTCCATTCCTGAGATAGCTCACTTAGGATACTGTTCCCTACTTCCATCAAAGTTAACTGCAAAAGACATTATTTCATT